GCTAGGTCGCTAGGGTATATAAAACTTTTGAAGAACCCTTTTATACCCAATATCGTGTTTATCACAGGCAAAACGAGTTTAAAAAAAAAAATTCCAAACATTGTATATAAAATCAATAGTGCGTGAATTGAAAATATACCATGTCCACTACGCACAAAATCACTTTAAGCCGTATTGTTTTTATCAAACAAACTCTTAWGGCATTTTTGTTTTTATTTTTTCTTAACTTTCATAATGTTATGCCTAACAAACGTTAATAGTGTGTTAGTCGTGGATAGATAATGATTATTCTTTCTCTCAGCTGTTGATATTATTATTTAAGACAATAATACTCATTGTTTATTGTTTATAGCTGAAGCGGCGCACATGATTTACGCGCAAAACTGTGGTAAAGAAGAGTACAACCGGTGTATCGCTCTGGCCGACCCGTTGGTGAAAGATCCACACCTCATCTACCCGGGCAATCTAAAGGACATCGATAATATATGCCGGTAAATTACTTTATTGAACTCGCCGCAATAAACATTTCGTTTCGTTCACAACGTATAATGATTTATTTATATTTAACCGCTATATTTTAATTTATAACGTGTTTATCTTCGTATTTTACAGCACTTGGACGCTGTTCGTCGATTGCACAAAGCGGTACACCGAACACTGTTTCGAGGAGAACAAACGGAAAGTGTTTAACAAAGCCGTTGAAAACTCTATCGAACTGGTCCATCAAATGTGCACGTCGCCTCAATACCAGACAGGTTATTGATCCGTAATAAATAACAATAATATATTATATCGACATAGTGTATCAACGAATGCAAGAATATTATATAAATCATAATAAAATACATAACAATACGATTATATTAATACCTATTATAGGTACCAATATTTTATATTAACGTTCAATTAACATTTTTGATTATGTATATTATGTTTATTATGTAAAAAAGATACTTGGTATATTTTTACAACTTTGTTTTGTACCAATTAAGTGTACAGATTTATTTACTATACCTACTACTGATTTACTAAATTATTAGGAGGGCTCTGCCAGCTGCTCGATTCACTCGCCCGCCATTTTAAGGCTTTGGACGATAACCTTCTTTTTTTTCCTCTTGAAATAATAATATTTGGAAGATAAAAATGCAACATTTTATTTTAGAGAAATATTATAAAAATAGAGTTCAATCATTAGAATATTAGGCAGAGTATGAGTAAGCATGGTGGAGTCCATTACCTATTTTTTTCTCGCGGAAATCAAATTTAATTTWAAAAGTTTAAATTGTATTATATATTTTAGTATCTATTTGTTTTCGATCATCTGTATTTTTATATGTCATTATATCATATTAATTTTTCAGAATATTTGAAACACGCATCGTGTTTACGAACCACACTGTTCGAGGACTCACGTTGTGGGAGACACTATCGATCGTTGGCTGGATTCATTTCGAACGAGACCAGTGGACCCAGTATTTGTTGGTAAGATRTGACGTTATTTTTTGTAGACACGAAAAAAACTCAAAACCAGCCGACCTATTTTATACTAAGAATAAAATATTTGTGATGTGGTGGAGTGTTTACAAGTGCAGTTGGATGATAATTCCCCCTC